ATGTAAAAGTTAGTATAATATAATTTTTTAATTCTTCTGCATAGAATTTAAAAAGATTGTGTGTGTTTTTGTGTGTGGTGTGTGTAGGCAGGTGTTCACATGTATAAATTGGATAGATACTTGCCATGTTGCATGTGTAGAGGTCAGAAGACAGCCTTAGGTGTCAGCAGTTGCCTCCCACCCTGTTTGAGAGAGGATTTCTTGTTGTTTGCTGCTTCACATCCTTGGCTATCTGGTTCATGAGCTTCTACAGCAGTGGTTCTCAACCTTCCTAATGCTGTGAACCTTTAACACAGTTCCTCATGTTGTGGTGATGCCCAACCATAAAACTTTTTTATTGCTACTTCATAACAGTAATTTTGCTAATGTTATGAATAGTAATGTGTGTTCTGATGGTCTTAGGTGACCCCTGTGAAAAGGTCCTTTGACCCTAGAGGGGTCGCAACCCATAGGTCAAGAACCACCATTCTACAGTCTTCTATCTCCACCTCTCATCTCCACATAGGAGTTCTGGGATTACAGATGTTCACTACCATATCTGGCTTTCAGTTGTAATATGAATTACTAAACAGTCTTATTAATAAAAAAAAAAAAAACAGGAGCCAGATATTGGGGTGAAAGCTGAGAGATCAGAAGAAGAGAACAAGCCACAGCCACAAATTCTTACCCTAGGAAATCTCAGCCTAAGAGAGAGTCACTTCCTATATACTCATGCCTATATCTAATCTGTCGCTACCATCTCACTTCCTCTCTCTACCTGGCTATATCATTTCCTCTTTCTGTCCAGCTCTGTCACTTCCTGTCTGTCTGTATAGCCCTCCAGAATTTTATGATTAACTAGTGTTGGAATAAAGGTGTGTGTCACCATGCCTAGCTTTGTTACCAGTGTGGTCTTGAACTCACAGAGATCTGGATGGGTCTTTGCCTCCTGAATGCTAGGATTAAAGGTGTGTGCTACCATTGCCTGACTTCTATATTTAATATAGTGTCTGGCTTTTCCCTCTGATCTCCATGCAAGCTTTATTTATTAGAGCATAAATAAAATATCACCACATTCAGTGGGTTCTGTGTATCATAACTCAGGTCCTCATACTTGCATATAAATTGCTTTACCCACTGAGCCATCTACTAGGTCTGTTATAGAGTTTTTCTAAGGGCAGAAGAACACAGTTTGAGAAACAGATGTTGAGACATTACATTTTATTGTAAATACGGCTTTTACAGGGAGATTATTAAGTTGCATGTAGAAAAATATCATGCTTATGTTGCATATACCACAGGGGTAAGAGTTTGGGGATTGCTACTGAATACCTTTATTCATGATCTGGACAATAGGAATCAAGAGAATCACGGTTAGGCATTATGTTGGACAGAGCATCTCTCTACTTGGAAAATAAAAATGAAAATCAAAGGGCATTCTATTTATTAAAAATAGGACAAAGATCACTAGAGAGACAAAAAGATATTTTTTCTATAAAACAAGTTTTTTTTTTAGGAGAAAAGACAAAGATCTTTATGAACATTCACATGACTTTAAAAACACTGGATCTTAAATACATGCACAATGGAAAAAAATATCATCAGAGAAGTTCTTACTTGGCATTGTTCAAGTTTATCATAGTAAAAAAGCACAGAGTAGTGTGATATATCCAGAAGACTAGAGTGATTTTATTTTTTTAATGTTGGTTTTCTATATACTTCTTCCTTGGGGCTATATGTATCATGAGAAAGAGGCTTTGAGTTGCTCTAAAATGCAATAACTTCAAAGTTCAGGAACTCGAAGCAAGGTTCCAGTTTGAGTTGTTCCTAAATGGTAATGTAAGTGTCTTTGAAGTGGATCTTATAGTGAAAATCTCCTGCCTTTCTAGCTCAAACTTGTGCAGGTATACAGAATCTGACATTTTTCCTACCTATTTGTGATTCTAAGTGAAGAGATTATATATGACTGGTGGCATCTCCAGGCCACCAAAGTGGATGCTGAAGGTTTCAATCTCTTCTTTGTCATTCCAATGACTTGAAGTTTGTTATGGAGATGTGACCTCCTAAGAGTGCCTCTTAGACAGTTGACTCACAATGCATAGAATAAAGTCATGTGAGGGTGTACGTGCATGTGCTAACATATGCATGCATGTGAGAACAAGCAATATGTATGGAGAACCATGAAAGTACAGGAGGTTCTGGAAAACAAAATGAAATTCAAAGAACCTTTTTTATAATTAAATTTTATAAAAAATAGAATGGAGATCATTAAGGAGACAAGAAAGATTCCTTTTCTATAAGCTTTCTATAAGAAGAGAAGAGCTTGGTAGTTGGGTTGAAGAACCATAGACATTAACTAGAGGACTTCTAAGACACATATCCAAGTAAATGACATGGAAACATTTTCACATGAAGATGGGATATGTGTTGGAAGATTGTAAACCTGGAATAAATAAACCCAAGACAAATGGAGTTATTATAACATTTAGAAAGATATGAAGGGTCAAGATTAGGAGACATCCAACATTGAAGTTAAGAAATAAATTACATTAACAAAGCTATCTAACATAGGACAAAACTGTCTTATATAAAATTATTTTGTACATTTTGTGAAGGTGTTATGCAAAGCATATTTTGTGAATTAGGTTCTTAATCTTCTGAAAATTGCTGTGAAGGAAGAACCATTATCTTCACACCAAGAATAGGAAACAGGATGTTGGAGAGGGCAGATTATTAGAAAATAGAGGAATGTGGTTTGGTCTTGTAACACACTGCCAACTGTGAAAGTGTTTGTTGCCATTGTTGGGTGTTTTTTTTTGTTTGTTTGTTTGTTTTGTTTTGTTTTTGAGACAGTGTTTCTCTGTGTAGCTTTGTGCCTTTCCTGGAACTCACTCTGTAGCCCAGGCTGGCCTCCAACTCACAGAGATCCACCTGCCTCTGCCTTCTGAGTGCTGGTATTAAAAGTGTGTGCCACCACCGCCTGGCAGGTGTTTTAATTAAAGCCTGAAATGTTAGGAAATATTTTCATTTCAAAATTTTTCAATATCATTTCTAAAGTCTTTCATGAAGATTTTACTCTACTGATGACTGGAAAATTGAATTGACCCCTTAGCTACTGTTAGTCATTGGGTCTATATGTCATTTTGCTGCTTAAACACAGATGTGAAAGAATTCTAGTAGTCCATAGAAGGCCAGTTAAAAACAGGAGAGGGTATAGTTGAAAAACCAGGGCTATAGGGAAAATTAAAGGAGGTTATGATCACTTGGCCAGGACTAACTTGGTGGTATTTAATATGCAGAGGGATAAGGGAGTTAAAAAAAATCATCCCCTGGAGAATATAGCAAGAAACTCATTTCAGGGAGGGAGCTTCTCAGAATCAAGATCTTCTTAGAGAAAATATTATGAAAAACCAATTATTTGAGGCACAGGGAGTGGAACAGGTACAATGGGGTGGTGTAGGGTGAAGCCAATGTCTTTAATAGTAGACATTTTACCCACTGCCCTCCCAGTGACTTTGGCAAGATCTGACCCTAAGCATGAACCAGAATGCTAGAAAGTATGTGTGAACTTGGCCCTTTTCATATTCTCCCATTAAAGAATCATCAGGACCTAAAGGTAAAATCTGAGCCATTTTCATTTAGGGAGAGCCTCAAACTAAGTTTGACAGCTGTGATGATAGGAGTTCACAGGTAGCCAGACATACAAGACTGCAACAGATAACCTCAGGAGATCCCTTCCAAAGTCAGGATTCCATGGCTTTCAATGACCACAGAACGCTCAGAGTCCCCATTAATAAAATCACCTAGAAAAAAAAAACAACATTTCTGATTAACAGAGCTTTGATATATTATTTTTAGTAGTGAGAAGTCAGTTTCTCCTTTAACACAGAGAGAACTGAACATTCTTACAAAGGGATTCTTTTTAACCTCTGGGAGGACTCTTCTGCTTCATAGAAATTTATCCTAATTTCCTGTCCCCACACTTCATAGCTTGTTACCTGGTCCATTACTCTGACATGTAACTCGATAAAGCTTGGGTTCTTGTGATATTGGTTTTCAGCTCTGGCTTCTCCCAGCTGCTGCTTTGAAGTACCAGATAACATTCTTTGCCTTGCATGGAGTCCGTGGCTTGCTGTTCAACTTCTCATTGTCCTGTGGCTCTTCTGACTTCTTGCTGTGAGGTTCTATGCTAACCTTGCCCTTTCTCTGCTTTTTGAAGAGGGCAAACCTTAGGCTTTTCCAGGTGGCTAATCTGTCCATCCACAGAATCGTGCAGATTATTCAGGGAATAGTTCCTTTTCACCTTAAGCATGTCAAGTTTTGGTCTTTACATATCTAGGGGTGTCACTGGGCTATGACATGAGTCTTAATGGTGCATCTCATGTGGCTCCTGTGAATACAGATACTGACTATGCTCTTTCACAGACAAAAGCCTCTTTTCTTCATGTAGCACCCTGAGGTTTACAGTCATGCTTTTTATCCAAAGGCATCCCTTACTGAAAGAATCCAAAGCAGTCATGGCTCAATGTCTGGCATTTGGGAAAAGTCGCTTATCTCACTAGGCAACATTACGAGCTACCTAGAATTGGAGGGTCCAACCTTCACTGGATAAAGCATCTTTTGGCTTACTCACTGTGAGGAATAGAAATGAAACTGTCAATATCCAAAGATTTCTGGAACTTGTTTATATCTAGTCAGTATTGAGAATTTTCATGGCCTATGCTATTTTAATAGGAGATTAATTTGGGAAGGGAAAAATAAGCCAACTCCTGTTTCACCTATTTAGAACAAAATTACCTCTGCGATTTTAAAGAACTATTTTGTAACACAATGGGAAGGTTAGGTGACTGACTCTAACAGGTGATTACCGTGCTAACACATGCTTACAAATGGTGAAATCAGGAGTGACTCTTCTGCTGCATTTTGAAGAGGAAAGAAGCAAAATCATGATTGTAAGTGGAACCAAGGAAGAAACAGTTCATCATGCAAGGAACATGTTGCAATGGAGCGAAGTTACTCACAGGTGTTTGCTGTGCCTTTGGGGATAGGGAGGTATGAGCCTGGACTCCAAGGCCGGCCCTGATAATTCTTCTTGCATTTCCCACAGTCTGGACCTGTCGTGTTGTGCTCACATTCACATGTCAGTTTACTGTTGTCATACACACACACAGTGGCATGCAGGTTGCACTTGCACCTAGGCAGAGGAGAAACAAAGAGTTCTCTGTCAGTCAAGTTGGTCTTAGCAGTCTAGCTAGTAGGGGTCATGGGTAGCTCTCAAACCGTGCAGCATTTTTTTGTGCTATACAAAAACAAATGGTGAAATACATGGAAATTCAGGCTTAGTCCTAAGGATCTCTTCAACAAAGGTCTTTTGGAGAAGGGTCTGTTGAGATGTACTCATCTTCCCTCTCCATTCTGAGGAAGCCTAATACTAGTCTGTTCTACATGGGCCTGAAGCTCTCCCTGGACAGCAGTGCTCCTAAAGACTTTCTTCCAAAGCCATCTAAAATACTGTCTCCAGTGGATGACTAATCTGTGATAGCAGAAGTCTGACAATGTCACCAGTTTCTCTGACTTTAAAGAAAGATGCTGTCTTTTTCATATCATTACGACATTTCTCATTTGTTGTAAAAACCATGACAACCATTAAAACAATTTGCTCCTCAGTATTTTTCTAAGGACTCAGCAGCTTATGATCAGGTTTTCTCATTCCGGGACTAAATAATCACAGGCACTTTTGCCTCAAGTCCTCCCCCTGGCCCTAGGGGAGGTGAGATAGCAAACTTTATACTTCCCATTCTCAACATATAGCAAGAGGTGCTTAGAATCCTAGAAAACACAGAGCGAACAAACAAACAAACATGTATGTATGTGACAGTGATTTAAGGCCATTAACTGTGACATTAGAACTGTAACATATTAGAGGCAACAATGGAACACATGATTTCCCTAACCCATGCCTAAATTCAAAGGGTGAAGCTGTGAAGGCTAACTTGCTATTTGCCAAGGCAGCAGGTAATAAAGTGTTTTACATCCTTTTCAGGCCATGTCCTCTGGAAAGGTAAAACCTACATTGACAGAATGACCATGAATAGGAATGTGCCCACACAGAGCAGAATGACCATGAATAGAGATGTGTGCCCACACAGAGAGGGCCAGGGATAAAATACCAACATACGTCAGACTCAGAAACTGAAATGTCACCTGTGTGTAGGTGTGTTAAAATGAGAATCTTCTGTGAACTAGGTAAGAAAAACCAAACCCAAGTTTCATAAAGACAAATACTGTGGTGTTTTGTGTATTTTTCTTTGGAAGAAGATGTCATAAACGGGAAAAAAATAACAGAACACTTTTTCATAGGTGGGAAATGCAATTGTTTAACTATTGTTATTTCTACAATGTCTGCATGGCAATGGCTATTCTCGCTTGATGCAAATGGGCTCATATTCATGACAAGGAAGAAAACAAATGGGTATGACTATGACCTGGAGATCCTTGGCTCTCTTCTAAGAAGGTGTGGTTCCTGAGCAATGGCCATCCAGTCAAATCTCTCTGGGAAGCCCAGGCCTCAGCTTCCTAATGGCTTTCCTGGAATGAATAATACTTCTAGCTACACTTCTCCCCCTGTGTACCTATTATTTATGATAAGATGGAATAGTCACATTAAAATAATAGAAATCAAACTTGAATATATAAATAACATCTTTAGAGATTTGTATTTTCTCCATCTGCCTAAAGGGAAGGAGAAAAATAGTTTCTTTAAACAGATAGTGTTTAATTGTAAACTAGGCCCTAGAACAATCTCCAATGCATAGGCAGTTACGTGTGCAAGTGTATTTTATTAAGAGATCTTTTTCTTTCCTGCCATTAGCACCTTTATTTATGGACGTGTTTATACATATGGAGGATGTTTGAAATCCAAGCGCGAGAAGCAGCAGCTCCTCCTGATTTAACATCCTATCTGGTGTTAAAAATTTCAAATGAGGAAATGAACAGTGTGACCCCAAAGAATATGCTTGCTTCACGTTTGAAGACTGACAATGCAAACACTCAGTGGGAACTGGATTATCTATCCAGCAACTTTCAATGTGTGGATACTCATCGTTCTTCTTTGAGGTCCAGGCAATTTCCATTCTAAAGACATTATGTTAGCTGAGAAAGATATTCTCTGAATAACAAAAGGAAGCAAAAGGAGAATAGATGAATTGTTGCTACTATTTTTTTCTTAGATGTCTGGCAGTAGAAGACTCATTCTCACCCATCTAAAAGCTTTTTATTGAGGGTTCAACTCAGTACATAACCCTTAACCAAAACTCATATACATCTCCAGTATTACTTTTCTGATGAATTAAGTTACTTCCATGTGTTGGTTTGATAATTATTACTTAAGGTTTTAGTATTTTTAAAAAGTTATTAACTGAATATATGATCCTTTTATCCTCTGGAAAGAGTAGTGTCTACCTTGTACCTGGCCTTCTCCAGTTACTGCCTTGTCTTAGTTATGAGTTTCTGTTGCTGGGAGAAAACACCTTGACAAAAAAACAACTTGGGGAAGAAAGGGTTTAATTCATTTTACAGCTTATAGTCCATTATCCAGGGAACTCAAGGCAGGAACTTTAGCAGGGAAGAAATCTGGATGCAAAAACTGAAGCAGAAGCCAAGGAGGATCTCTGCTGACTGGTTTGGCTCCTCCTAACTTCTTCAGTTTGCTTTTGCACATACTCCAGGACCACCTGCTCAGGAGCGGCATCACTGACAGTGACCTAGGTCCTCTCACATCAATCATTACTCAAGAAAATGCCTCAGACTTGCCTACAAGACAATTTCATGGAGATGTTTTCTCATTTGGGATTCCCTCTTTCTAGATAACTAGCTTGTCTCAAGTGAACAAAAACAAAAACAAAACAAAACAATAAACCTAACCAGGACACTCCTTCACTCTTTTTGACGTTTTTTACATCTATCTTTATTAACTCACCTCCTGCTCACTCCTTCCAAGGAGCTAGCTTCTCTTGCTAAAATCACCCATGCCTTCTTTACTGAAATTCCAATGGCTATTCTCAACTTGCCTTGACTTCTTCAGATGTGTTGACTATGACCCACTTGTTTTACTTGCTAGCTGTCCCTACTGTATGTCTAAGCTTATTTTCAGGACTCTGTTAGATCTGGACAGGCTGTTCCTTTGGGTTCTAACTTAACATCATCAGCCTTGGACACTCTTGTCTAGAATTTTTCCTTCATTTTCCTCTGTGTTCCTAAATTTTGTTGAGTTACAGACTTTTTATCACCAATTTACAATTATCATCCTCACCAACCCTCAAATGTAAAAGTTACCTTGAATATATGAAAACATTTCAGGAGACTTGAATTCTCTATGTCCTATAGGGGTAGGGTTCACAGAAGCCCCTCCCCCTATTATCAGCAGGTAAGAATTTGTGATAAATATGTTGCGAAGGCCTCCATCTGTATCCTCATCACAGGTCTCTCCCTCTGGCCTCAGACATATTTATCAAAACACCTTGTTGACATAAGTTTGAAAGGTCCCAAACCAATCTTCTTGACTTTCCTCACCCACCCACACCTCTTTCTGAGTTTTTTTTTTCCCCCCTCAGCAAGTATAGTTTTTGTCAACTGGACCTCCTTCATCTCAGTTAACCAAAGATATTCTTCTCTATTGCGTTCATGCTCCACCTAGCTGGTCATCATTCCATATACCACCAAGTCTTCAGATTAATGCTCCTTCAGTATCTCTCCATCCATAGTTTTAGCAGAGATTATGTCCTTGGTGATGGCTGTCACTGTATGTGACTTAGACATGTACAAAAACTTCTAAACAGAAGTGAATGCTGCAGTTACACTTCTCTCTGCCAAACCCCAATACTAAGTTTTAACCAGTCTCTTACTCAAATACCTTTAGGTCATTTCTGGCTTAGAACTTCTGTAAGATTTTGTATTATTATTAGAGCAGAGTCTAAGCTCTATGGTATGCCTTCAAATACCTCTGCAATTTACCTCTTTTCTCTTTTCCAGCTTTGTTGTTAAAACTTCTAACTCTATTCTTGGTTTTTTTGAGCTTACACTCATGTACTCTTAAAAGTTATTTCTTCTTCCTTCAACATTTCATTCTCCATCCCATATCTCTTCCATCTGGATAACTCTTCCTTTCAGGTGTGAACTTTGGAAGCTCAGTGCCTGGTTCTTTGTTGATATTCAAATACCATTTGTCAGTCAACTAACTAAATGCCTTTTCTACCATGTAAAATGCTGATCTTCTGTTTATCTATATGAAGCCCATGATCTCTCTGCAACAGATACAGGTTGTATTTCTGTTGCTTTTCTGTTTGTGCCCTCACTGAGAGGCAGCACTCATGTCTGCCTATTTATTGCAACAAATTCAGCATATAGCAAGTTGCTTGACACATCATAGGTGCCCAAATGTATTAGATGATTAAACAAGTAACTAGAAAATGAATAGCCTCTCTAAAGGCAGGAACTCCACATGCATGTCATACTGTGTGTAGCATAGCAATGGATTAATAGTAGAGTTAGTAGGCACTGGACTCAATCAAGCACTCTATGATGTATGTTAAAAAAACTGCCACATACTTCGTTATGAGTTTTCACAAAACACACTCCCTATTTGGCAAAGAGAATTCTATCAAATTGGTGAGATCTTATAAACTCAATTTAATATAATTTAAACTATTGAGGATTTGCCAGATGACTGAAATTGAACCTAAGAGCTCTCCTATAATGATCCCTGAAGATCTTGGAAAATGACACAGCTCAATGGAGAGGAAAAACAGCATGGTATATAGCATTCTCATTGTAGAGCCTGCATTTTTTTAATCTTCAAGTCCTTGTGCTGAGATGGCTACCCCAGTTTAGCTGGAGCTTGGTGGAGCCCTGTTTTGACACTGGATAACATTTGTATGTCCCCAGAAGTAAATCTGCTGACCCTGGGTGGATTTTCAGCTGTTCTTCTTAGTCCTTGAAGCATTGATGTGCAAGGGCCAAGTGTTGAAAGTGCACACTGTGGCACCATGGCTTTGCCTTGTATTTGGAAGTAGCTCCCTTTCCTTTTCCACAGCTCACTTTATTCTCATCACTCTCATTCCAATCAGAAGCTAAAATCCTTTATTTAGAGCCCTTGCCAACCAGACTGACTTTTCCTCTAAAGGTAAATAAATAAAT